GCCATCGGGAAGCCGGTGGGTGTGTCCCGCCCCGGGCCCCGGCAGCTGGCCAATGGCGCGGCGCGCCGGGGTGACTGCTGCCCAATCGCCGCGCGGCCTGAGGGCGGCGGTGCAGCGGGAGGGAGAAAAAGGGAGGGAAGGGAAGTTAGGTTGCGCCGCGCTGCGTGTTCAGCAAGGGTGGGGGTGGGGGAGCCGGGCCTAGGGGCCATGTGGAAGCTCTGAGCCCAGCTACCCGTCCTGTTCCGACCCGGGCCGGCTGCTGCTTCCTGTCCCATGGCCCTTGTGATTCTCTCCACCTACTTCTCAGCTCTACCTTTTCCTATCTTCCTTGGTCTGCGCTCATAGACAGGTCTGGCACTCCAGTGCCTCTTGACCCGTTCAGACAATATTTCTCCCTTACCTGCCAGATTACTCCTTTTCAGTGTTTTTTTTTTAGTTTTTTTTATTACTTCGATGAGTAGAGACTCTGTACCCAGACAACAGGCTGAGGCTCACCCTTGAGATCAGGCCTGTTTCCAGATGAAATCACAGAGGAAAGTTACTCGTTTTTTTCATAACTTCAAATTTAAGGGGTACAGGAAAAATGAAGAGTATGGACTTGTGCATAAAAATTTAGGATGGATTGGTTGAAATCTCCTGTGCCCATAATGCTTCTCTTTTGTGTCCCTCTCATCTTGGGGGAATGGGGCAGCAAAGGGAAAGATGGATCATACTTGACATCTTTTAAATGTAATAGGTCTAAATAACACTAAACAAATGTGTTTCTTTGGGTTAACTAGGCAAATAATGTAAGCAAAAAATAGTGACAAGGCTATTTTATATAAACTGCCCTTGAGTGATTTTTTTATTTTTATTTTTGCCGTTAACTTTCCATAGAAAAGATTTTTTCCACTGGTATAGATTAATAATATTTCCATTTGGAGCACATTCCTGTTTCTGCTTTTGCTAATTTGCAAGAAGCCTTTTATGTTATTCCTAACGTTATTTAGTAGTACATAGTTAATAAAACTTTTAAAGAGTTATCTTCTGCTGTGATTGCAGGACTTGTTAGTGGTAAGAAACTATCTGCTTTTGTTTTTTCCTGTTAACTTTTCAGGAAAAGAAAAGCTTTTGGACAAAGCTTTTTGCAGGGTAGAGGAATGCGTGTTAAAAATTTTAAACAAAGGGAGTAGTTTTGGGATTCTATGTTAGAAAACATTGAGTGCTTTTTGGAATCCACTATGTTTAGTGGACAACTCAAGTCCAAACTGTGTAAGAGCCGTTAGTGTGTTGACTGTTGGCTATTATATATAAAATCATTTGCCATGACAGTGTCTAAGTATTTATCATTTTTGCCCCTATAACTGCTTTTTTCATTGTTCCCCACTTGATGAATGCTCACAACTGAAGTAGAGGACTAGTTTCCTAAGTCTGTTTTATGTTTCTAAGTATTTCCCACTCATACAAGATTACCTGCTTCTATGAGATCAAAAGCCACCCTGAGTATCATTCCTTTTGGACTAAGGTTTTTTTAATTTAGAAAAAAATTTTACATTCTAACATATTCATTAATATATTCATTTGTTCAACAAATAAGTATTGAGTACCAGGTGCTGTTGTAGATACATTCTAAAAAATCCTGACTAAGATTGTCAAGCTTGCTTTAATTCTGGGGGATCTAATGTGAAGATTTGGGCACTAAGAAGAATGTTGCTAGGAAAATCCATAACTTGTTAAGTGCTGAGGCTGCATGAGTAGATGGATGACTTCCTTAATACAACATTTTTACAAGAGTCTTAAAGTAGTATTTTGGAGTCTTCTGCGATATTGTGATAGGTCCTAAAAAAAATTAGGTTTTTCCCAGCGTGTTGGTGCTTCATAAGCTATCCTCAATTGACAAATTCTCAAGAGATATTTTTATTCACCAGTGCATCTTCTCTTTAACAGCCCACTTTCCTTGTGGAACTGTCCAGAGTGCTAGCAAATCCAGGAAACAGTCAGGTTGCCAGAGTTGCAGCAGGTCTACAAATCAAGAACTCTTTGACATCTAAAGATCCAGATATCAAGGCACAGTATCAGCAGAGGTGGCTTGCTATTGATGCTAATGCTCGACGGGAAGTCAAGAATTATGTAAGTAACTTTCGTCTCTTTTTGGTCATGTAGCCTAGAGAACAAGAAAAATCTCCCTTAGTTCTTTTATCATTTGCATGGGATAGAGCTGATGGTATAATAGCTTTCTGGTACCTAAACTTCACTTGAAGATTAAAGTTGTATTTGATTTGTCTCAGTTCAGCTTGTCTACTCCCATTAATGGATTGGAATTCTTTTCAGATAACTGAGATAGACTGCAGCAGTTTAGGAAACTTTAGTTAGATGTTAGAATTTCTACTCTGGAGAATTGGAATAGTATACAAATTGATGGTTCCCAAACTTGGGTTATCAGACTCCCTTAAGGACTTTGGTAATAATATGTTTTCAAGCTCCCTTCAGAAATGTTGATTTGTAGTGTGAGACTCAGGGATATTTTTAAACTGTCTTCCCAAGTGATCCTTCTGGTAGGACAACACCCAGCTCTTGTTGAAATTCTGCTGTAGATCTCGTTCAGTGGTTTAAGCATGCTCTATGGAATCAGAAGGGAAATTAAATCATCTCTTGGGCCTTTCAGGAAAGCCCAAAGAGTTTATGAAACAATATTGACATTAATGATGCTTTGATCAAATATTTAACATGTTATGGAAAACTTGCTTTAGAAACATCTGGCTTTTAATCAAGGCATTTAGAGTAGGCTGATGAATTTTGTGGAAAATTGAATGTACTTTGTTACTCTGCATCATAGAGTTCCTGTGACTTTTTTTTTGGTTGAATTAGAAATTCATATTTCTAGGTTCAGCAAAAGATTCAGAATATATGGACAGATGTGCTTTGCCTTTTTTTTTTTTTTTTAAATGAAGCTCTTCAGCTGCCTGTCCCACATGTATAAGGCACAGAGAGTATGTCAAGCATCGTTGGTCCATGGTATTTGAGGGGAAACCAGTGGGGGGTCCTCATGTGTGCTTGTTAGATTATTCACATCATATTTGCCATTTCCTGGTTCTAGGTGTCAGCATTAGGTAAATTCCTACCCCTTTAGGCAATACCTTCTCTTTCTAGTTACATACTTCTTTCTTATGTGAATGTACCCATGACAAGGAACTAGGTTATGAAAGACAACTTATTTTGAATCATCTTTGAAATACATAGAACTATTTCTATCCACATTGAGTCTGCTTATGTAGTAACATTTTAATCCACCCTTCAGCAGTTTGTTATAAATGAATTTTATTCCATCAATCACTGCAAATCTTGATGCCTGTACTGTAGTGCCCAAAATGAGATAGGACATAATTGGAACTGTAACTGACTTTCTTTTTTTTTTTTTTTTTTTT